AAGGCTGTTTATAGAAGGAGACGGCAGACTAAAATCAGAGAGGACACTAAAAATCTTTCTGAATGCACACTGGAGAGTAAAGGTGCATAATTCATTGCTGAGCAATGCTGACCCTCACCTCTAAATATTGCTATCTGCTCTTTTTCAGCGCTTCATTTAGAATGCAAATACATGCAAAAGGCACCTAGTAAGTGCAGCAGGTATGAGCATTTTGCCTCTGATTACAGATGGGAAAATATAAATATAGTTTTCTACCACTAATGAGGCAAGTAAAGAACTGCCAAAGGAGAAAAGTTATCTGGGAAGTGAGCTCTAAGTCCTAAGATTAGACACAGAGGCTGCACTCAAAATTGCAAGAACATCACCTTGCTGCGCCAGGGACTTGTTTTACAGTCCTCAACAATCAAAGGACTGTAAAAGTTGTGAAATGCAAACTGTGAGAAATGGGGGCACAATTAATCCATTTTCTCTAAAACACTGCCTTGGCAAAATAAATAAACAATAGTAAAACTTAGCAAATATCAATGAATTGAAGGAGAGAATTTTTTTGCTAACCATTTCTGAACAAAAGCAAAAAATAAATAAAATAGAAGAACAATTGTATGTTACCTGCATGTGCATATTTTCAGTAGGGTAACACAGGTACAGTGCTTTTTTTCAAAAAGGCAAGTACAGATGGATGCTCAGAATTAGTTACAATAAATGATTGAAACATTGCATATAATATAGATCATTTAGTTTTTGATCAATATTTGTAATAATACAAAAGTCATATAATTTACTTTCATGGTTAAAAAAAGCAGTCTAATTAAATTTGTTTCTCATTTACCCAGGATACATTAAAAAATAAGGATCTGGCTCTGCACTGCACAGAGATTTTATCCTAAACTTTGGAAGTGATGAAATATTGATATGGTACACATGAGGATTTGACGTAAGTGAGGCAGAATACTGCAGTGCTAGGCATTACATGTTTTATTGAAGCATCCAGTGTAGCACTCAGGCAGAGTGAGAAAGAAACTTGGGAGGAAAAGAAGACCCTCAAGACGTTTAAAAACCCAGAAAATTTTAACAGATTTTGGAGATGCAGGTCTGACTTTAAACTGCCTGATTTAATGAGGCAACAACAATCGATACAGTCAGCACACAAGAAAAAGGAGGCCAACATAGAGGCAAACATTAGATCCACGTCCAGATGTTGGCCAAAATGTGCTAACAGGAAGCATTCAGCTATTCCTTGAAAATATCAGTGTCTGTTCAATGGTTTCAAAAAGATGTATTATACTAAGAGTCAATGTAAAACTTTTCTTAAAGTTTTACTCCAAGGCAAATGATGCTAAACCAGTTTTGTCACAAAATTCGAGTTAAATAAAACTCATTATTTCCCTCGTTTTTCCTGGCAAGTTAAAAAATGTTAAAGGATATACTTTTTATTAAAAAAAACATAGTTTTTGGCAAAATTGTTAAGACCATTACGACGTTGTTACAGTACAATATGAGACAGATGATTTTCTAAAAAAAAAAATAATAATAATAATTTATGGTCCTGGGCACCTGGGCAGAAACAACCAATCAGAGCAAGAGCAGGGTCATAGCGCTGTCAATCAATCTCATGTATGCACTGCTCACACCCTCCCACTTTTTTCTGTTATACTACAGCTGGTTCACCACAACAGACCCTGTCAGGACTTTTACCACCACTATGATGGTGGATAAACTTCTTTTTTGCAACAGGCAATGATGCATTTCTGCAGACCACTAAAGTAGCACTGAGATGTGGTGGAGGAGCTCAATCTTAGTTGTCTGTCTCATACTATGGAATAACAACACGGTGACTCTTTTAACAAATACGTAAAATTTACAATACCTACTCTACTTCATGGCCAGTGACTAATACTTATAATGTATAAAAAGGATCTACACGTTTTATTTCAGATGGGTTTTACAAAACCATCTGAAATGACATTTAACCAGTCATTATGAGACTATAAGCTTGTGTTATCCAAATAATTCAACCTTATGAGGTTACATCTCCGTAATCCAGCCCCCAGAGAAAAGATTAAAATGTATTTTTTTTATTATTATTTTTTTTAAATCTTTTGGAGCCAAGAACAGAACACAATGAAAACAGAAATTGTTCTTGGCAAGTAATTTGTATTTGGCCAACAAACATGTCAATTTGTTTTAATGCTAGAATGTATAAAACATACCATCTGCTATTTAACATTTGTAAAGATAAATTCAAAATTCAGCAGATATTAGGGATTCCAGACAGCAGTTGAAATAAGCATTTCTGCTTGGTGGAATTAGTTTCAGGAAGCAAGCTAAAAAAATTTTATTTTATTTTTTTAAATGAAACATCAGAATTGCTTTTTGTCTAATGATACTATAGCTAAAAATCATGCTTATTTCCATGCCCTTGTTTTCTACTGCTTGCCATTTAAGCTATTTTTAACTACATTGAACTTCTAAAACACATTTACAAAAATAACAGTTTTATTTACATCCAGAGGCGAACTCATGCCTTTGTGAAGATAATGCAATATGAGTTTATTTCAGTTGAGCCTGGCACTTCCTTAGGTACCACCACTAATTGAAACAATTTTTATGACTGAATGATTGACCGTCTTCTTTATTTTCTTTAGTGACTGTTCTCAGCTATAGATTCTGTAGATAACATCCTGCTAGCTTTCTGTTTTGATGTTGTAATGATGAGCTTATTAAGTGTGGCTGATTTAATCACCATGGAAAGCAAAAATTATAACTTTTGTCAGCAATTGGATAGAAATATAAAGTTTAAAACTTGATTACAACAAAATAGGAGGAAGACAGGAGAGCTGCGAGGTGCAAGATCCACTTATCTGACCTTCTGGCATATGGTTCGGACAGGCTGTTCTGTATTTTTTCTTTTTCTCCTTGAAACAATAACATTATTCTAGCTTAAAACTATTATAATCTCTTAAAGCTGTATCTGATGTCAAAGTTGGGAATACAAGTCTCTCCACTAAAAAGATATGTTCAGATTTAGTCATTAATGTACTATAAATTTACTAATTGCATTGAATTAATGAAATGCAAAAAAGAGAAAGGATATTTGAAATTTACTCGTTGATCAATCAGATTTTATGTTATTTTAGCAATCTAAAAGTTGAGTTGTATTGAAGAGATACAATTAAGTGTAAACCCCGTAGTATTAATCTCTTTTTTGTTTTATGCACTTACTTGATTTTCAGTTGGTTAACCATTACCTGCTCATCAGTCTAGATTAGAAAGAATTTTAGCTTTGCCATTCTTGGTGGAGTCTCACTCTGAGACTGTGGGACTTCCAGCACATTCTTAGCAAAATGTTCCTGTGCAATATTCAAAGCACGTGATTACGTGTATGCTTTACCTGCCGGGATCCAGGTACTAAGTTCTGGACTGTTTCATGGGCATCTTTGCCCAACCTGCATGTTGGATCTTGTTAGGTGTGGTATACCCTTGCCCCTATTGTGCTAGTGTTGCTGTGATTATTGATTTTGCCCAATCCTTTGGTACAGTCTTATCAAGTTATTTGCAATGTCTGCCACTTCCCGTATCAGCAGGTAATACATGCAATGCAAAAGTATTTTTCAACTTGATCATTCCTCCCGGTATTCACCGTACACGCCAGGTTTCTGCTTCTTAAGACATTTATTTAGCAATTCATTTTTAGGGAGCATCTTCTTGATTTCATACTGGATACTTTCATATTCATACTTTGCGTTTGTCCATATTATTAAATTTCCAATACATTTTGAAGGAATTTGTAGTTGTAATGTAGTGACAGCAGAAAATAGCTTGCACTGTGTTAAAGAATAAAAAAATGCAGACAAAACAAAAACATAAATTTTTTTTGCAAGGTTCTGCGAAACTCTTATCTTGGTAGCCATTAGTATGCAACTCTGGTTTCACCAAATCACTTGATGCAATGTGCTGAGGCAGCCACACAATGTGTATTTTGGGAAAAGGCTGGCCTCAATTTGTTGGTGTCAGTATTTGTATTGATAGCAAAGAAGACCTTACTGGGTAAAGTGCTCTGGAGAACAAATTGCTCCAAACAGTGTGTTCTTTAAAGCAAAAGAGTGCCTCTGCTGCTCTCAGAGGTATCATTCTCAAACAAACTAATAAAAACTGAGAGTGGAGCAAACACGCATACAAGTCTAAGGACACCTCAAACTAGTCATGACTTGAACCTACTATGTAGACTGGTATTACCACTGAGAAAAAAAAAAAAACTAACCCAAACATGCCCAACTTTTATCACCTTTCCTTGTTGATATTTTTCCTCTTAAGAGAAAAATAATGAGCTAAGAGCAATATGAAGAGAAGCAGATTGTAGGTAACTGCAAGCAGGAGAAATGTAAAACGTTCTGTGACATTCAGTTCAAAATGCAGGCTCTTCAATTATGCTCTCTCTTACAAGCCCAAGCTTCCTCCCTCCTTATCAACGCTCGATAACCTTTGCAAGGTTTACAACAAATTAAATGATTTATTTAGAAAGAGGCAGTTTCCCTCTCTGCTACGTACAGAGCAGAGTCAAAGACACAGCGAGCCAGAGCTCCGGGGGTCAAAAGTTTGCAAAATGTAAGAATTAAAGGTTTTTAATTTTCCAAGTGTGCAGTCTTGATGCTGCGCTGAACTAATACCCACAAATGTCAATATCAGAGGCTGGTGTAAATGAATAGCAAAATATGAAAGTAGGTAATTAGCTCAACAGATCTAGTTCAAGCTTGTGGCAAAAATCCCACTAAGCCAGTTTTTAAATATTAGCTGTGAAAGCATTTGGAAACTGTACAGAAAAAATGTATTAAAAAGTAAAGCCAATATTTGTGAAATATAGCAAAAGGAGAGAGGCCTTGAGCTCTCTTAAAGTTTGTATATTATTAAGTAACATGCCATGTGACAGGATGTATCAACAGTGTGGCACACACACACACACATGCACATTATGTGTGCTCACATATCCACCAAACCCCTACCTGAACCAGATTCCAGCCCTCCAAAGACTCTGCAATAATGGAGGTCACAGAAGGGCACACACCTCCGAAGATCATCAGATGTTTGGGACCGTAGCATATGGCATCAAAAAAGGCCCTCAGTCCTTTAGCATTGTCACACTGCAGACACAGACAGAGTGGAGAGGGAAAGTAGGGGTGGGGGAATTAGAGGAACACAAGGAGGGAACAAAAAGAAAGAGTTTGATTAGACTTTATGACAATATCAGTAATTCAAACTATGATGAAAAAAAAGTAGCTTTGGTTCCAGAAAATGCGCCCTCCTCTCATCCAGTTAGATGCATTTAATTCTAAGTGTAATCAGATTACACTGCATCAGAATCATGTCGCCAGATGATTCGTCACTAACAGGGATCAAAAGTATTCATCACAAATTCTGTGCCTTGAAACAATATTTCAAAAGCAATGAGGAAAAATAAAACTAATTTCAGTTTAATCCAGTGATAGAATATAAACACAGCCGACACATTAATGATAAATCTTGTGCATAGGCATAGAGTCTGTGGCATGTAAATGGTGTAAGTAGCAACATAAATGCTAAGATTTGCTTTAAGCACTTCGGTGTGTGTGTGTGTGTGTGTGTGTGGGGGGGGGTGCGTGTGTGTGTGTGTGTGTGTGTGCCTGTGTGTGGGTGTGTGTGTGTGTGTGCGGTGTGTGTGGGTGTGGGTGCGTGTGGGGTGTGTGTGTTGGGTGTGTGCATGTGTGTGTGGGTGTGGGTGTGTGTGTGTGTGTGTGTGGGGGGGGGGGGGGTGTGTGCGTGTGTGAGTGTGGGTGCGTGTCTGTGGGGGTGTGTGTGTGGGTGTGCGTGTGTGTGTGGGGGGGGGTCTGCGTGTGCGTGTGTGTGTGCGTGTGTGTGTGTGGGTGTGTGTGTGGGGGGGTGTGTGTGTGGGTGTGTGTGTGTGGGTGCGTGTGTGTGTGCGTGTGTGTGTGCGTGCGTGTGTGTGTGCGTGCGTGTGTGTGTGTGTTGTGTTTGTGTGTGTGTGTTTGGGGGGGGGATGTAGGGGTGTGTGCTGTGTGTGTGTGTGCGTGTGTGTGTGTGTGTTGTGTGTGTGTGCGTGTGTGTGTGTGTGTTTGTGTGTGTGTGTGTTTTGGGGGGGGATGTAGGGGTGTGTGTGTGTGTGTGTGTGTGTGTGTGTGTGTGTGTGTGTGTGTGTGCGTGTGTGGTGTGTGTGTGTGTGTGTGTGTGTGTGTGTGTGGCGTGTGTGTGCGGGTGTGCGTGTGTGTGTGTGTGTGTGTGTGGCGTGTGTGCGTGTGTGTGTGCGTGTTTGTGTGTGTGTGTGTGTTTGGGGGGGGGATGTGGGGTGTGTGTGCGTGTGTGTGTGTGTGTGTGTGTGTGTGTGTGTGTGCGTGTGTGTGTGTGTGTGTGTGTGCGTACGCTAAAACACCAGTAAAACCATCTAGCTCAGAGGCTTTGATTCAACTCTCCTCTGTTTCGGTGCTACATAATGCACCCATTTCATGTTACCATGGCAACCAGAAGAAGGAGCTCTCCTCAGTCTTTTTACTACTCAATGTAAAAAGATTGTGTTGTTACTACTGATTGCAACATAATTGTCTGCTAACTGTTATTGCTGTGATTCCAAGACATCCGCAGTTTACCATGATATGCCAATCAGCATGAGACACTTTCCTGCTCACTTTTTCCAATTGACCACTTAATTCTGGATGTGTTCATAAATTAATGCCAAGTGGGCTTGTGTTTGTTTTATTTTTCGACCGTAATAGCTATAAGCCGTGACTGGATGAAAACACTAACCAACAGGGCCACTCGTTGTTGGAGGTTTGAAAGCTGATGATTGTTTTTGAAAAGTGTTTTATGACACACAAAAGCAGTGCTTAAGTGAATGTTATTGGGTTTTATTGGTGTATTTATATTTTGTGAAATTTTGAAAAGTAGTATAATGCACTTCTTTCTGTTTTTCTCCAACAAAAGCCTGCATTTGTGGACACGATCGGTTTTTTTAACATTTGAGAAGAAAACCAACAGATGAGGCAATTTAAATACCATTAGATGGTTACTACATCAAGCTGTTGATGTAGTAACCAATGACACAAGGATCACAAATGTTTTTCTGGAGGAGAAAAGCTCTGAAAATTCAGAAATGAAAATAAAACAAATCAGCTCCAGCTGATGACAGAATTATTCAGCTATTAAATTAAATTAATTTATATCTAACTGTGACCTTGTGCATGTGCTAATTGTGTTTTCTTGGTATTTTAGGATACGGTAACATACAACCTAAAGGTTTGGTGTCTTCACTAATTTTCTTTAAAAAGAAAAAGAAAAAAACTTAAGACGCCTACATAAAACTGTTATATTTTTAAATTAAACATTAAATTACACACAGATGAAGTGTGATGTCATACTTTTCAGAGTTTAACTTTTATGTACTTATTTAAAAAAAACTCTGTGCATATACACATTTGAGAACCCTTTCATATTATATTCACCTCCTCATTCTCAGATTGATGCTTCGTCGTCATTTCAAACTTTTGTGAGGTGAATGTATTTTTAATCATGGTACAAGCACATAGAAGCTTTTCCTTTCTGAATCCCAGCAGAGCAAAGCATGCAGTAGTGCTGGTCAAAAATAGACTTGATTGCAGATGTGCCTCAGGTGAAATGAGAGAGAGAAGATGTGATTAGACACAGTGGGTAGTCCTTATCGTGGCCACACAGCTGAATGAAACAGTAGGCTATTAAAGAAGATATCCCATTAGCACATGCTTATTCTTCAATTTTTTTTCTCCAGCCGGCAGGGAAAAGGTGGGCTGGTATTGATGGATTGTGACTCAATTGGTTACCATGCAACAAAGAAGAAGTGTGGGCAGCTAAACTTGTCAAAGTGAACACAATAAGTCTCAGTGATGTAGGCTTAAGCCAATTTACTTACAACGTAACAATGGGATGTAGGCGGAAAATGTTTTATGCTATTGTGTTTTAATCCAGTCACTGACTCAACAATAATTTCATAATTATGTGAAATGTAGTAAAGAAGATATATAAAAAAAGTAGCATCATATTCCAGTAATAATGTCCAACCATCCAAACAAGTATGGACTTTCTTCAGGACTCTCTTTACAAAACACTGTATTTTGTTCCAATTTGCTTCATTCATCCCCAACTACGTTTGCCCACAAACTTGCACACGAGCACACAATCTGTTGTGACTGCTCATAAAGCCTTGACCGCTGTGTTGTCATGCCAACAGTGTGACTATTCACACTTTGAGGCAGCAGATGAGCCAGGATGCCGCAGCAGGCCCGTTGCAGCAATTGCTATATTTAGTCTCTCATTAGGTCGCATAACCACTACAACTCTGATCAAGTTATTCAGCTGTAGAGATGCTGTAGAGGTTTGAATAGGCAGAATTCAAACAGAAAACCTCGAGGTGAAAGGAGCTCAGAAGGGGAAAAAAAGTATAAAGAGGAGAGAAGATACTCAAAGTAAGGACAGAGGAAGGACAGGGAAACAAAAAAAAAGACTTGAGTAAGGACATTAGATCATGAGCCACAATTATCAACGTGCTCTCTACTACAGTCATAAAAGTATTTTAAAACTCAAAGGTGTAACTTTGTTTGTTGACACAACTGCTGAAGCTGATCAGAGAGTGAAAATATTTTCAATATAATTGAAACTTATTTTTTAGTTTCAATTATTTTAGTTTAAATTGAAACTAAAATATAAGATAAAATTTAAAGCAGACCTGAGCCATTGGTATCTGACCTGCAGATTTCTAAACTGCGACTTTAGTTCTCAGTGGCAAGTCGACCTGAGAGCTATTCAGAGCATGGCCCATATAAAAAAAGATTTCGCAAGAATGTTGCTTAAAGGACGTTTTTCGTGATACAAATTTCATGGAGGCCATTGTGGATGTTGTTTTTGAAACTGTAAAACTCCCATCACTTATGCTTTCTGGAATTGCATAGAATGTTATTTAGGCCCAACATTAACAATATTGTTCGACATGGATCACAGCTGAATTTGTTATGTGTGAGTCAGCAGGAAAATCATGTGGAAAATGAGTAATGAAAGGCAAAAAAAAAAAAAGCTAGTCAAAGTAAATATATGTGTGCGTAGATTTTCATACACAAGATATTTCAAGGTGCTTTTCATGAAAATAAGGGGAACTGAGTATTGCTGACTTCTGATTACTTTAAATGATGGAATGCTACCTTTCAAAACATTGTCACTGCATAGTAGAAGTTAAATATATTCAACCTGATACTAATATAATGCGTGTTATCTGTTCATATTCAAACAGAGTGAAAATAAAATGTGATTAAATGTCATTATCAATTTAAAACTTGATGGGTAAAAATAGATTATGATAGAATTTTTTTGACACCTTTTGTCAAAATGACAAATAATAAAGAAATCTAGTGTGACCTCTGATCTATTCATAACTATAAATAACCAATTGGGGCACCACCTGATCTCCAGGAAAATAACAACCAATCAGAACTAGTCCAACCCTGACATTAGTTTGAATGGAATCTGAATCTGAAATGCCAAGTTTGACATTTCAGATTCTCCTTTTTTAGATCCAAGTTTTTATTAAAGTTCTATAATGTTGAGCAAACATTTTGATCTCTCAAAATAACTACATTTTATGTAAAATTTGAATCATTATATTTATTACTTTTTCCAGTAAAAGTAATAAATATATTTAGATTGGAGTTTCAGTGTCAGCATTTGTTAAACTGTATTGTCCAAAATGTGAAAACAAATATCTTTACTCTAAAAACTATAAAATTTAGAAAACAAAAATGCCACTGTTACAAAACATCACTTAATTCTGCAGCAAATCAGCAAGAAATCCAACAACATTTTACTTCTATCCATCCCTGAGTCTGGAATGTAATTCCTGGCATTTGGAGGCCATTTGGAGCAAATCAATGGGGATACCGCCCATAGCAATCTATTTGACTGGTTGTGAGATGGCAAAGGAAAGGGTATGTTGAGGGGAGTGATGGTAAATGAACCTGAAAATGGAAATTCAAGACAGGTGTATAACACTGTAATGTTGATCCAAAAACTAAGAAATGAACTTCAAGTGAGCAAGAATTCAAAGTCAAAAAGAAAACCTTTTTCTGTCTTC